GAAGAAGGAGGAGGAGAAGAAGGAGGAGGAAGAAATTGCAGCCTGTAATCCTACCTACTCAGATCAGGAGTTTTGTGGTTCGAAGCCAGCCCAGGCAAATAGTTCACCAGATCCTATCTCAAAAACACGAAACACAAAACAGGATTGGTGGAGTGACTTAAGCAGCAGAGTGCCTGCCTAGCAGGCGTGAAACATTGAGTTCAAGCCCCAGTCTGGCCAAAAAAACAGCACCAACCATCTACATGATTAGAAGCACTAGGATCAACATGACAGTAAACTAGGGCTGAACTGGAGGTCTCTTCAGAGTAGAACAGAGCAGAAATAATCTTTTGTTTCTGAATTCATGCCCTTTCTGCAAAAGAAAAGCAAAGCAGAAAAATCAATGATGCAACAGATGCAAACAGAAAGTTCTACTTGGACACGCCCCACTAGCATGTACCTATTGTGCTGTGAAGAGCCCCCAAAATAGACCAAGAAAACAAGTGTGTCCTGAAATCCCATCTTTGTTAAACTAGCCTGGGAGTGCGGAGGGTTCTCCACACCCTTCTCTGATAGGCCACATTGACCAGCAAGCCTTGGTCCCATAGTTTCACTCAAACAGCAAATTTTGGGAAATCTCCCACTGCTATTTCCCCTTTTTTTTTTTTTTTTACCAGAACCACTACTCCTGACCAGCATGCTCCTCTGGGGTGGGCTGTCATATTGTGAAGTTGTCACTAAATGTCTTCCATGAGAACATCATTCTGAGTGAGGTTAGCCTGGCCCAAAAGACCAAAAATCGTTACGTTCTCCCTCATATGGTGACATCAGATCAAGGGCAAACACAAGGGGACTGGACTTTGGTCACATGATAAAGCGAGAGCACGCAGGGAGGTATGAGGATAGGTAAGACACCTAAAAAACTATATAGCATTTGTTGCCCTCAATGCAGAGAAACTAATGCAGATACTTTAAAGCAACTGAGGCCAATAGGAGAAGGGGACCAGGAACTAGAGAAAAGGTTAGCTAAAGAAGAATTAACTTAGAAGGTAACACACATGCACAGGAAATCAATGTGAGTCAACTCCCTGTATAGCTATCCTTATCTCAACTAGCAAAAACCCTTGTTCCTTCCTATTATTGCTTATACTCTCTCTACAACAAAATTAGAGATAAGGGCAAAATAGTTTCTGCCGGGTAGCGAGGAGTAAGGGGGGGAAGGGGGGAGGGGCAAGGGAGGGGGCAGGGGGAAGGGAGGAGAAATGACCCAAACATTGTATGCACATATGAATAAAATTAAAAAAATAAATGTCTTCTATGAAGCTACGAAGTAGTGAGAGGATTGGGGTGTAGCTCAGAGCCTAGTATGAGCAAAGCCCTGAGCGCCATCTCCAGCATTGAAATAATAACAACAGGCAGGAGTCTACCTCCTGTGATTACTGATTTCTCACGTGGAATTTCAAGAATTAAGGTGAATCTGAGGAAAGGAAGGCACCTTGTGTGCAGAGGGTGGTGGGGGGAGCTGCATGGCAAGGGAAGGGCAATGCTGGACCCACCTGGCCCATGGGACTTAACTGTAAGAATCAAGAACTTAAAACCTTTCTAGCCAGATGGAAACGACACAACGTTCCAGAACATGGTGGAGGAAGGTCATTGAGAGTGAGTGCAAAAGGAAACCGAATTGGGGTGGATTCCCAGGGTGGGGGCAGGCGGAGGGACCCAAGCTACCAGGGCCACCACCCCCTCATCCTCTGTCAGAAAACAATGGAGAAAGCCAGGTAGCTCACACCTATAATTCTAGCTACTCAGGAGGCAGAGATCAGGAGGATCACAGTTCGAAGCCAGCCCAGGCAAATAGTTTGTGAGACCCTATCTCGAAAAATCCTTCATGAAAATAGGGCTGGTGGAGTGGTTCAAGGTGAAGGCACTGAGTTCAAGCCCCAGTACCAAAAGAAAGAGAGAGAGAGAAAAAAAAAAAAAAAGCAAAGAAAATGATGGAGAAGAACAAGTAAAACATTAACTGTGGGTCTGGGTGAAAATTTTAAGAGATTAGCCTGTCTGGCATCTCCCAGGCATACCTCTCTTAGGAATCCAGCCCTGTATTTTGGATCCATGATTTGTTTTCTGGTCCCCACTAGAATGCAAGCCCCAAAAAGGGGAAAGTCTTATTTTGCCTTGGGCAGTACTTCCCTTTCTGAACTAGAGAAGACTCCTACAAGGTAAAAAAAAAGATGAATACAAATGATAAGAAAGTTTAGCCAAGATATCCATGTCAACATCAATTTACATTCTGGGGTAGATTAGAATTTAAAAGTGCATTCTGAAAGCTCAGTTCAATGAACTTTCCTCCAACCAGGCCCACAGATAAAGGCTTTCACTCCTTTGCTTGTGGGTTTGTTTTGGCAGGGCTGAAGTTTGAACTCAAGGCAAGCCACACCCCCAGGCCCATTTTGCTCTTGAACTTGCTGGGTGTCACTTGGAGTTTAAGAGTTAATCTCAGGGGTTGGTGAGAAGTTTGAAATTGCCTTGGACTGTATTTTCTTCCTTTGTCTTACCCCTGACATTTACTCCAGGGAAAAGGCCCAAGGAACACCTGGGAGCCCCCGCCCCAGCCCATCTGAATGCAGGCTGCACACTTCCAGAAGTGAGTCTGTAAATACTCTGTGCTGCACACTATTTTCATCTCACCATTTTCTCATTTCTTCTCTTCTTCTGCCAGTGGAGGGACCTTTGTAGCCCTCTTCCAGTTTGGGGAAATTAATTACATTCCTTTTCAAAGGTTGGAAGTCAAACAAATCAGGTCTTCCCAAATCTGTTTAATTAGTGTCTCCCTGGGAATTTTCTTCTGGTCATTTTGGAAATTTCCAGTCCAAGGTTGGACCTTCTGTGAAGATTTTTGCCTGAGGCTCCTCCAAGGTAATTGGGACAGCAAGGTACTACTGACAGCGAGGCTCCCAAATTGATCTAAAAGAAATCCCAGCATTTGGGAGGTTAAAGCAGAATTTTGAGCTCAAGGCCACTTACAACAGCCAGATGCTGTCTCAAAAAAGAAAGAAAGACAAACAGAAAGAAAGAAATTAGGGGGGGAAAGGGTGGGGGAGGGGAGCAGGGGGGAGAAATGACCCAAACAATGTCTGCACATGTGAATAAATGAATATTTTTTTTAAAAAAAAGAAATTGTCTCATTGACCCCAATTTGAGTAGAATTCACAAACTCAAATTAAATTCCTATGTTCCACTAGCCTACCAACTAAGCTCAGCTGTAGCTCATTTATTTTTGTAGTGCTGGGGAACAAACCCAGGGCCTCTCTGGGTGCTGGTGGCTCACGCCTGTAATCCTAGCTACTTGGTACTTGGGAGGCTGAGAATGGGAGGATCACGGTTTGAGGCCAGCCCAAGCAAATAGTTCAAGATACACTATCTCAAAAATACCCAATGCAGGGGCGGGGGGGGGGGGGGGGGGAAGGCTGGCAGAGTGCCTCCGGTGGTAAAGCTCCTGACTAGGAAGCGTGAGGCCCTGAGTTCAAACTCCAATACCACCAAAAAAAAAAAAAAAATTACCTGGAAGGCTTGATGAAACATTGATGGCCAGAGTATCTGATTTGGAAGGTCTGGGTTGGAGTGTGAAAATCTGCATAGCAAACAAGTTAACCAGATGCTGTTGATAGGGGCTGGCTGGAGACCACACTTTGAGAACGCCTTGACCAAAGTGTGTGTCATGGTATATATCTGGCTATTCAACCCCTACAAAAATATTTCTTGATTGCATAATTCAACTTTTGCTTTTACCCCAAATGAACAAGATTGGCTTTCAGGATTTTCTCATGTGTTTCAGTGACGGGGGAGTGGAGAAGGTTATATATTGAGAATAAGACAGGAAATGAGGCCTGTGTGCTAGGTTATGCTTGTGATCCCGGTGCTTGGCGGTTGAAGTGGCAGGATGGAATTTGAGGCCAGCCTGGGCTGTAGAGCAAGACCCTGTCTAAATAAAGAAAAAAAGAAGAAGAAGGAAAGAAAGGGAAAGAAAAGAAACCAACAATGGGGTTGTTGAATGTGTTGGGAACTTGTTCTTCCACTTCTGGAAGTCAATCAATGCAAGGATTTTTTGGTAGGCAGATAGTAGGAATTCATAAAACTAGAAATGTTAACTCAGAAATGTTAGTTGCAATTAAATTTATAGTCTGAAATACAGCAAAATTATGGCGAAAAAATACATGCCTAGAATACATGCCTGTAAATATCCAACCATTAAGGTGTAAATAAGAGATACTTGTTTGTTTTTCTTCTACTTCTCCTTAGTAGGAGACAAGTCCCAAAGATTTTAAGATGAAACAGGAAAGGAACTTTCTCAGTTGACTTTTTTTTTTTTTTTTTTTTTGCAGTACTGTGGTTTAAACTCAGGGCTTACACCTTGAGCCACTCTACCAGCCCTTTTTTGTGATGGGTTTTTTGGAGGTAGGGTCTCACTTGAACTATTTGCCCAGGCTGGCTTCAAACCATGATCCTCCTGATCTTTGCCTCCTGAGTAGCTGGGATTACAGGTGCAAGAGCCACTGGTGCCTCTCCTCGTTGAGTTTAATTGGGCGTTGACTGGCAACTGCCTTTTTCTCTAGAACATTTAAATTAAGTTCACAAGCCAGTAGCCATGCCCGGGAGTGGAGTTTGTAAAAAAAACCCTGATCTTAAGGCAATCACAAGAGAGGCTCTTGATCCATTCTCCAGCTGATTTGACCCAGGATAGGATTCTTTTAATGCAAAGCACATGAAGAGTTATGTTATCAATCCAGACTACCGCCCTGTCCTCTGCGTCACGTGAAGGTTGTAATCTCTCCTCATTGCATCTTTAGCATTCAAATAGCGTGGACTCTAGGTTTCTCTGTAGTTTAAAGGAAACCAGGCCTAAATTTTTAGGTTCCCTTATTTCACCACCATTTATTGGAGTTTGGAGTTTTAGGGTTTTTCAGAACTACATTTTTTTTTTCTGGCCTGTTCTGGAGTAATTTTTCCTCAGCACACCACCAATGGAGCCCTCGCAAACGTTTAACCCAACCTTGACAGCAGAATCTTTTCAGATGGCCTACGAAGAAAATTCCCCAAGAGATTCAGGTAAGCCAGACACTGAGCCCCTCCAGGCAGGTCGGGAAGCCCAAAGGCTGCCCTCATTTCTTAAACTGTCTTTTCAGGAAGAATTCAGCCAAGTAAACCTCTGAAGCCAGAGGAGGACCAGGGAGTATGGTCTCCTCCAGAGAGGAAACAGGGAGTTCAAAGGGGAGCCAAGAGGGCAGTGGGGTGAGAAATGCATTATTTGCCCACTGCATTAGGGCACTTTTGACCCCAAGACCAGTTTCCGGGGGGGGGAAAGGGGTTGCCATTCTCCTGGGACCCAGATTACAGCAATTCACGCAATAAAACAGTTAAAAGTACTACAAAGTCTGGTGGAGTGGCTCAAGTGGTAGAGCGCCTGCCTAGCAAGCATGAGGCCCTGAGTTCAAACCCCAGTACCACCAAAAATAAAAATAAAAACTACCAGAGACTTAAGCTTCTTTTACCTAGACTTTTTAGAAAATAGCCTTCCAGTTAAATTCACCCTTGAGGAATGTTAAAAGCAGGCAAATGGCTTTTCAGGGGAAGGAAATAAAAGGAAGAAGACTTATAAGAGCCAGGGCCCCTTCCTGGGGTCCTCCTGTGGCGGGACCCATTTCTTCTCCCTCAAGTGCACAGGTCTGGCCATAGCTACGACAACCTAGCCTCTGGGTTTGAAACCCTCTCACCCTAAAGGCTGCTGCACCCTTTCTCTTGCTGGATCCAACCCCCCCATCCTGAGAAAATCCCCGTGGTAGGTCTGAGGGGTAAAGCAAATGTACAGAGACAATGTAGGAGCCAACGATTACCTTATCTCCGTATGTACAATTCTCTAGCTTTGTTGTTAACTAATGTTACTTGTTTATTTGAGGTTGGGGCTTGAACTCAGGGCCTACACCTTGAGCCACTCCACCAGCCCTTTTTTTTGTGATGGGTTTCTGATACAGAGTTTATTTAAAGACTGTCTTTTTTATTATTATTATTTATTCACTTAGTCACATGAATAAAGACTGTCTTGCTTTGACGTTAAGGCTGGTTTTGAATTCTCCATCCAAACTCTCCTGCCTCAGTGTTGGGATTACAGGCGTGTACCACCACACCCTGCTAATACTCTCTCTCTCCCCCCCCCACTCATTTATTTTTCAGTTCTGGGAATTGAACCCAGGGTCTTGCTTATGTTTGGCAAGTGCTCTGCTATTGAACTGCTTTCCCAGCTTCTCCCACCCCTTGGCAGTACTGGGGTTTGAACTCAGACCCTCACACTAACTGGTCTTCTTTGCCTTCCTTTTCAGCAGGCTCTCATCCAGAAACCTTGATAAGGGACCTTCACAACTTGACCCTCAACCCTCCTCCCAGGTTCCCTTCCCCTCTCCCAGAAGGTCCAGCCCAAGTGTCAGACAGAAGCGAAAGGGTCCTACAGGAGACCAGAGGTGATACTCCCTATAGGCAGAGAGGAGTCCGGACCTTGTTATCCGCAAGGAGAGAACGCCTGGCCAAGATGAGAGCTCTCCTAAGCAACAGATACTCCCGGGTGAGTCAGTGCAGGTGGGGCTAAGGGATCTGCTCAGGATGACACCCCCACAGGTTGAGATGTCAGCAGTGGTGAGCAGCTGTCACCCACGCTGAATGTAACACATTTTTAAAGTTCCCAACTCGACTTCTTCTGTCATGGTACTTGTAACTTTTTTTTTTTTTTTTTTTTTTTTTTTTTTTTTTTGCAGTACTGGGGTTTGATCTCAGGGCTTACACCTTGAGCCACTCCACCAGCCCTGTTTTTATGATGAGTTTGTTTGAGATAAGTTCTCACAAACTATTTGCCCAGGGCTGGCTGTGAACCCTGATCCTCATCTCTGCCTCCTGAGTAGCTAGGATCACAGGTATGAGCCACTAGCACCTGGTGTAACTCTTGCTTGATAGCATTTTAAAACATTTCTTTTGTCTGTTTCTTCCCATGAAGGCTCGAAGAGAAAAGCTAAGAGATGGGATTAAAGGAGTTCAGGTAATTTGGGCTTTCTTTTTTTTTTTTTTTTCCCCTGTATGAGTGGGTGGTATCTGGTTTGATTCTGTTTTGTTTGGAGAAGAGGAAAGGGAATAATTGCACTGACCTTTCTCAATCTCCAGGAATTCTGGAGAAATCAGCCCATATATGTCCTTTTGTTTTGGGATTTTAGTGTCCTAAATTGTCCAATCCCTAATTGTCCTAGGGACTGAACCCAGAACTTTGACATGGTAAATCACTTACCACTCAGCTACATGCTTAGCCTCTGTTCTTCTAAGTCTTTCTCACAGCAAAATTGAGGACAGCCTCAACAGAATCAGTTACATTTACGGCCCTCAAAAAAAACAAGACTGGTATTTTTTTACTGACAGTGTGCATCTGTTGCCACTATAAAATAACCTGGTATTGTTAGTACCCATGTATTTGAATCTTTATTTTTTCCTGGTACTGGGACTTGATCTCAGAGCTTCCCACTTGCTAGGTAGATGCTCCACCACTTGAGCCTCTCTGATAGCCCTTGAATCCTGTTTCTCTCCCCCAAGATTTTTTTCAGTGCTGGGCATGGAACCTGGGGCCTTGCATGTGCTGGCAAGCCATCTACCACTGAGCTACATTCTCCAGCATTCCCTAAGTGTTGCTTCTGTACCACCTCGGCTCCACCTTTCCTCATCTCTTTCTCGTTTTGGTTATTTTAAGTCAGATCTTTCTGTGTATGTAGTCCAGGCTGTCTTAGTGAACAACAGATTTGAGGATTTATTAACCTTTCTTTGGGGTACAATATCTCAATTAATTGATTTCATTGTTTCTTTCAGAGTGAACCATTCAGTGTGCCGTTCCAATGCACCTGCAGTTACTGCCTGTACCATAGCTGGGATCCTTCTGAGAATGCTAGACTAGGGAGTGATTATGACAGAGTAGAATCAATTTAGGCTTAAATCTCTCTCTCTCTCTCTCTGTCTCGGTGGGACTTGGGAGTTTGAATTTAGGCATAAATCTAAATTTATCAGTTTTCCTGCTGGTAATTTAGTGAGCATGTTGAGAGCTACATACCACTAATTTTGAATAACTGATGTATATGATATGACCTTCTTATCTTGTATTTTCACTCCCTCTATGATTAATTTATGAGGGAATTGTGTAATTTGTATATGAATGACTTTAAAATACTTTAGTTCTACATTTTGATTTGAACCAAGAAACACCAATAGGTCTCAAGTTTTTGTTTTAGAAGCCTAAAGTCTGTGAAATGAAATATAACCCGAAGGGGTGTGAGGAGAACATGGGGTGGTCTGGTTAGAGTGTAACAATTTGGGTAGGTAACTATATTTTTTCATTTTCCAATATTCGGGTTGCCATAAAAGGAATTCTGATGTTATTTTAATTTCCAGTACCAAATAAATGTGTATATAAAGGAACTTGTTAAAATTGACCTGAGGGTTTTTTTGTTTCTGTTTTTTTTGTTTGTTTGGTTGGTTGTTTTTTTTTTTTTTTTTTTTTTGAGACAGGGAGCTGTTCTGTAGCCCAAGCTGCCTGGATCTCAATCCTTTTACCTCTGCCTCCTGATCATTGGGACTATTGGATGTATACCTAGCTTTGTTTTTCACTACGTATCCCAGGTTAGCCTTGAACTCAAATCCTCCTGTCTCAACTTCTTGATCCTTGGGATTATAGGTGTGTGCCACCATGCCCAAGTTCAGACAATTTTCATGTCTTTTTTTGGGAGGTGGGACTGGAGTTTGAACTCAGGGCTTCAGTTTGCAGAGCAGGCAGTCTACCACTTGAGCCACACCTCCAGTCCATCTTGCTCCAGATATAAGTGGTGAGTGTAAAGTTCATACTGCCCATGGTCAGGAATCCACTGGGCTTTTGCAATGGATTCCGTATTCATAAGGGGAGCTATTGTATGTCGGGAAATGGGAAGTCAGGCCAAAACATCTCACAGTATCACAGGAGGGAGTCGAAAGACTCCAATGGTGTTTTACTTGTTACTTCCAACAATATGTGTACCTCAACCTGACATTCTTTTGGGATACCAAAGCTATGTAACTTTTGTCCTCTGCCCTCCAACTATCATGTGTTAAGAATGATAAAATCAATACTTAAGAGAAAAGCAGCTGTTGAGCTAGGGTGAAGAAGTACTATCATCCATGCTAATAAGATACGTAGGAACAAGTTAACTGTTGGTATGCAGTTTAAGGTTTCAACACAAAGTACACACCTATAGTGTTGGTTGTAATAATGGCAAAGTTGCCTTCACAATCTTATAAATAAATAATATTAATAATTCTACCAAGTTTGGTCATTTCTAGGCTGGCCTTGAAACCCCCCCCCCCCAGGCCTCTGCCTCCCAAATGCTATGATTATAGGAGTGTGTCACCACACCCTGCCCAAATTTGATCTTTAGTGGTTGCCCTACTCATGGGGGGATTATAAAATAGTTGTAGCTCTCGGATGTAACTCAGTGGTCGAGCACTTATCTAATGTGCACAAGGCCCAGGTTCCATCCCAGCACCAAAAAAGACAAAGTTGTATGCCTTTGTCTATATTTTGTTTTTTCTGAATCACCCTGTTTTTTTCTGGCAGTACTGGGGTTTGAACTCAGGACCTCACACTTGCTAGGCAAGCATTGTACCACTTGAGACACACAGACCCAGAATTAAGTTTTGTTGTGTAATCTGAATATTTTCATTGTGGTTTTGTTTGTTGGTTTGTTTTGTTATTGGGATTTGAACTCAGGGCCTCACAATAGGCACTTTTACCACTTGAGCCACTCCATCAGCCCTTTTTTGTGATGGGTTTTTGTTTGTTTCTTTTGTTAGTTTGCAAGATCCAATCTCAAAAACAATTTGCCGGGTGCTGGCTTTAAACCTTCATTCTTCTAATCTCCGCCTCCTGGGTAGCTAGGATTACAGGCAAGAGCCACTGGTGCCAGGTAGAAGCTAGTTTTTTAAAACATTATAGAATTAGAGGTGTAGCTCAGTGGTGTAGAGCACTTGGATGATATGCACCCAGGCCTTGGGTTCAGCCCCCTGTCTCCAAATACAGCACTCTGAGGTTCTGAGGGCTTCAGCGTGGATTTTGGAGGAACATATAGGTACTAATGTCCTAGTTATCAAAAAGAGCTTAGGAGAGTCATGCTCCCTGTTCTGGTATGTAAAGGGGTCCCCATGGTCACTGACACGTGGGAAATGCTCGCTCAGCATTTGTTTAGCAGAAGCTTGCTAGATAAGCAAGTGCTCTACCACTGAGCCCCACCCCAGCCCCAGAACTCATGAACAAATGAAAGAGTATGACACCTGATTCTATCACAAGTGCAACTGGTGAGACCCCACTGAAAAGTTTAATGACCTTCCTGGTGCAAATCTTACCCATACCTAAAAAGAACAAACTTGCTATCTATAATGGCGGGGGGCAACCAAAACCATTCCTGTGAAAGTATTTCACAAGCAGATCTTCGTCTCGCAGACTGACTTCAGGGGTATGTGGCAGTGCACATCATTCCAGCCCCAATGTCTACTCTCTTCTTTACGAAAATTCACTGCCACACAGCGCTCATCAAGCATATTGGGTTCCTTAGTGTGCCAGAACCTGAAAGGAAGAAACAGAATTGAGTACACTTTGTTTTTTTAATTTTAGTTTTTTGGACAATACTGGGGTTTTATTTCGGGGGATTTTTTGTTTTTGTTTTTGTTTTGGCAGTACTTGGGTTTGAACTTGGGGCCTCACACTTGCTAGGCAGGTGTGCTCTATCACTTGAGCCACTCTGCCAGCCGGTTTTTGTGTTGGGTACTTTTCTGAGACAGGGTCTCTTGATCTGTTGGCCCAAGCTGGCCTCAGACTGTGATTCTCCTGACCTCTGCTTTCCAAGTAGCTAGGATTATAGGTGCAGCCCCAGCCTGGTAGTACTGTGTTTGAATTCAGGGCTCCTGCATATGACTCCAGCCCTGTTTTGAGACAGGGTCTCCCTAAGTGGTTCAAACTAGCCTGGAACTCACAATCTTCTTGGCCTCCCGACTGCTAGAGTTATAAACGTGCACCACCATACCAGGTGAGAGTTTTTTTGGGTTTTTTTTCTTTTTTGCAGTACTGGAGTTTGGAGTCAGGACCTCACACTAGGCAGGCACTCTACCACTTGAGCCACTCCACCACCCCCGATTATGCTCTTGTCATTCTTTAATTTAGAGACATATACTCAGATAAAATGGGGTTTTTTTCAAAAAGTATTGTGACTTTTTTTATTTGCTTGCTTGTCTACTAGCTGACAGAACATCACTCCCACATGAACAGGACCCAGGATCCCTCTGTGTAATCCTGTACTCACGTGGCACTTTGGTTGTATGGTGTCTGATCAACCCATTGCCAATGATTCTGACCCTCTGGATCCAAGAGCCCCACATAATAATCAGAATCTATATTCAGATTTTGGATGATGAAATCCTGAGGGAAGAAAAGGAGTTACAGCCTCGAAGATTGAGTTGAGAGGGCTGTTTGTGGCTTTAGGGAGAAAAAAGAGAGGATTTAGGAGCAGCCTCACAGGGTCTCCTGTGGCTGAGCAAGCCAGACCAGGATCACAGGCATGACCGTGAGCATGCCTAGCTGGTACAGGAATGCGTTCTAGCAACGAATTCTTACATCTGACTCCTTTTTGGTAAATGACAAGACTCTTAGGAGAAAGTGGGTTGGGGGCAGGACTGGGCTTTGTTAGGCAGGCACTTTATACTTGAGCCACTCCACCAGCCCAGGATACTTTTTTTGTTTGCAGAGCTGGGCTGGAACCCAGGGTCCTGCACATACCAGGCAAGTTCTCTACCAGTGTGCTACACCCCAGCCCTCATTGACTCCCAACTGTGGGTCCTCACAATTTGCTTTTCTCAGGTCTTCATAACATTGCTTCTTTGTGAGATGATTAATGAATCCTAAGCCTTTTTATATAAAAGCATCTTGTTTTCATCAGGGCTGGGTTTTTTTTTTTTCTTTTTGGCAACACTGGGATTTGAACTTGGGGCCTCCCGCTTGCTAGGCAGGCACTCTTACCTCTTAATCCACTCTACCAGCTATATAAAATCATTTTGGAGATTGGGGGCGGGGTCACTCAAACAAACTATTTGCCCAGACTGGTCCCAAATCAAGATTCTTCCAATCTAACCCTCCTAAGTAGCAAAAATTACAGGCATGAGCCAAACTTTTTTTTTGCGGTACTGGGGCTTGAACTCAGGGTCTACACTTTGAGCCACTCCAGCCCTTTTCAGTGATGGATTTTTCGAGACAGGGTCTCTGAATTATTTGCCCAGGCTGGCTTTGAGCCTCAATCCTCCTCATTTCTGCCTCCTGGGTAGCTAGTTCTGAGGTTGAACTAAATGCCTTATGCTTGTTAGGCAGGCAGTTACCACTTGACTCATTCCACCAGCCCGGGGGCCAGACTTCTTTATGAATGTTCTCTATGTCCAAATATTGCACCAGGTTTACATAAGTTAGTTATGTATGTGTGTATTTATTTGCAGTACTGGGGTTTGAATTCAGGGTTTCATGCTTACTAGGCAGGCAACTCTTACCCCTTGAGCCACTCCACCAGCCCTTTTTTTGTGATGGTTTTTTTTTTTTGAGATAGAGTCTCACAAACTATTTGCCTGGGCTGGCTTCAAACTGAGATCCTCCTGATCTCTGCCTTCTGAGTAGCTAGGATTACAGGTATGAGCCACCAGTGCCTGGTGTGAACATTTTTTTTTTTTTTGAAACAGGGTCTCATTACATAGTCCAGGCTGACCTTGAACCACAATCCTCTTGTCTCCCCAAGTATCTGGGATTATAGATGTTTAACACTATGCCCTGCTGGATATTAAAGAAACTTTCAATTGTATTAACTTAATGTAGGGTTTCTTGTATCAAGGCATATGGCAAGAGTGAATAAATATTTTTGGAGACAAGCATGGTGGCGTATGGCTGTAATCACAGCACTTAGGAGGTGGAGGCAGGAATGGTTATGAGTTGAGTACAGCCTCAACTACATAGATCATGTTTGAGACAAAAGAGATGGAGAGGATTTACTATGAAGAACTAATATATACAACTGGCACAACATTTCATAACTAATAAATATTCTTATTTTTCCATTTTCAAATTCACTATTTGTTAACCTGACCCTTTTTTTTTTTTTTTTTTTGCCATACTGGGGTTTGAACTAAGGGCCTTCACCTTGAACCACTCCATCAGCCCTATTTTTGTGAAGGGTTTTCTGTCCAGGCTGGCTTCGAACCATGATCCTCCTGATCTCTGCCTCCTGAGTAGCTAGGATCACAGGCATGGGCCACCAGCACCTGGCCCTGTTTACCTGCATTTTGTTCCCATGTTTATTTTATTAAAGTCACTGCTCAGTTCCTTTTTTTTTTTTTTCTGCCTTTAACTTTCAGGGCAATAAAGACTTTTCATTTTGTATAATATTTCACGCCCACAATCCAAGCAGTTGGGAGGGTGAAACAGGAGGAGCTCAAGTTCTAGGCCAACCTGGATTACATAACCAGACTCTTTTTTTTTTTTTTCAGTACTGGGATTTGAACTCAGGGTCTACAACTTGAGCCCCACTCCACCAGTCCTTTTTTGTGAAGGGTTTTTTCAATAGGGTCTTGAGAGCTCTTTGCCTGTGCTAGCTTCGAACCATGATCCTTTTGATCTCTGCCTCCTGTGTAGCTAGGATGTCAGACCTAAGCCGCCAGCACCCAACAGACTTTTCTTTCTTTCTTCCTTTCTTTCTTCTTTTCTTCCTTCCTTCCCTCTCTCCCTCCCTCCCTCCTTCCTTCCTTCCTTCTTTCCTTCCTTTCTTTTTATTTCCTTTTGTGGTATTGGAGTTTGAGCTCAGGGGTTCGTGCTTACTAGGCACTCTACTTACTAGAGTCACTCAACCACCCCTTCTTTCTTAAAAAATATGACAGGTGCCTGTGGCTCATATCTGTAATCCCAGCTAATCAGGAAGATTAAGGTTTGAAACCAGACTGAGCAAGTAGTTTGTGAGACCTCATCTCAAAAAGACTCATAATGGAAAAGGGCTGGTAGAGTGGTTCAAGGTGTAGCCCTTGAATTCAAACGCCAATGCTGCAAAATTATAACAATAATAATAATAATAAGACTCTCTTTCCCCATCAAGAAAGGAACTAGGCTAGCTGACCCTCTGCCCATCAGAAAGCACCTGCTCATTCTTCGTGGTGATCACCACCAGGTCAGCTCCCATAGCGAGGCAGCTATTCCGACTCTCAGCCCAAGACAGTAACTCAGTGGAAATAAAATAACAGCTAGACTGAAATGGCCTCCAGAGGGTTGGGCAGCAGTCCCAACTTCCTAGAATGAATACAGAGGGAAAAAAAAAATAAGAACACACTTCACACAAAGTTTTAAGTCTCACTAGGTTTGATCAGGTTTTATTAGTTATCACCATTTATTTTCCAAAACTGAATCCACTTACTGTGGTTGCCTCTCTCTAAGTTATTTTACTCTACACAGGAACTGGCAAGCTTACTGCAAAGGGTCAGATAGGAAATATTTTAGACATTATAGCGATATGGCCATTGTCATACTACTCAGCTCAGCTATTGCTGTATGGAAGTAATCACCAACAATATGTCCACAAATGAACATGGCTGTGTTCCAAAATTTTATTCACATAAGCAGGAAACCGGTTGGGTTTTATCCATGGACATTAACTTTCCAGCCCCTCCTTTAAATCCATAGATATGATTTTACAGGGGCTGGGAATGTAGCTTAGAGGTTGAGTGTTTGCCCAGCATGTATGAGGACCTGGGTTTGATCCCTAGTACCACAAAAAAAAGAAGATTTTACAGACAAATACTTCTGTTCCAATCATTACTTTCATTACTGATTCATATGTAAACCATCTCCACATCTTTGGCCACAGGAAAAAAAAAAAAAAAAGGCTGGCAGAGTGGCTCAGGTGTTAGAGTGCCTGCCTAGCAAGTGTGAAGTGCTGAGTTCAAACTCCAGTACTGCCACAAAATAAAAAATGTAAAAAACCTTGTCATTTTCTATATCTTAACAATAGATGTAAATATTCAACATTCAGCAACCCATCACAGAGAATGAGCCTAGAATAAAACAGACCTGAGTTGCAACTTTGTTGCCTGCTCTGGAATTTTGGAAAACTTATTGAGCCACTCTGAGCCTTAAGTAGTTTTCTTTTTACTTGTCAATGGGATGCTTCTTAGAATTTTGAGAGGTTGAGGTAACATAATATATGCAAAACATATTGGAGCAGTTAGTGTTGAAAAACACCATTCTCTGGGCTGGGGATGTGGTTCAGTGGTAGCACACCTGGGAAGCAGGTGTGAAGCCCTGGGATGGATCCCGAGCATTGCAAAAAAAAAAAAAAAATTTAAATTAAAAAAATTCGGTGGACACTGGTTGCTCACACCTGTAATCCTAGCAACTCAGGAGGCAGAGCTCAAGAGGATCATAGTTCAAAGCCAGCCTGGGCAAATAGTTCTTGACACCGTATCTCAAAAATACCCAACAGGGCTGATGAAGTAGGTCAAGTGGTAGAGCACCTGCCTACCAAGCGTGAGGCTTTGAGTTCAAACCCCAGTACTGAAAAAAAAATTTTTTTTAAACTTCAAAAGAGAGTATATTTCAGCCAGGTTACTCAGGAGG